AGGGCAGTGGGCAGGGGTTCTGGAAAGGGGCACGTGCCAGGGCAGTGGGCAGGGGTTCTGGAAAGGGGCACGTGCCAGGGCAGTGGGCAGGGGTTCTAGAAAGGGGCACGCGCCAGGGCAGTGGGCAGGGGTTCTAGAAAGGGGCACGCGCCAGGGCAGTGGGCAGGGGTTCTAGAAAGGGGCACACGCCAGGGCAGTCTGCAGGGGTTCTGAAAGGTGCATGCACCAGGGCAGTGGGCAGGGGTTCAGGAAAGGGGCCCGCCTGCTATGATCAGCACACAGGTTACAAGCCTGGGCGTGCATGTGCCGCGAGGACATGGGCTCCCCCGGTGTCCCCACACCGTCTTGTGTAGAATCCTTGCCTCGTGTCCGTTTTGGAGGACTAGCGTCTCACGATTGAAGGCTGTGCCTGGCATCGCCCGGCACCTCCCTCCTCCCTCCGGTCCCTTCCAGAGTACATCAAAATGGCAGACCAGTATGTCCCCGTCCCCGGTGGACCCAATAACAACAACTATGCCAACGTGGAGCTGATCGTGGACATTGCCAAGCGGATCCCCGTGCAGGTAGATGGGCCCACGGGCGGGCGGAGGCCTGAGGGTCCTCAACAACTCAGGACAGCGCCGGGGTCAGTCTCCTGGACTGGAGGACTCCACTCACACCTCCCCCGTCTGGTTGCAGGCAGTGTGGGCTGGCTGGGGCCATGCTTCGGAGAACCCCAAGCTGCCGGAGCTTCTGCACCAGCTCGAGATTGCTTTCTTAGGTAGGAGTGATGCATGGGGGCGGGAGGTGGGGATGGGGGGCTCGGATGGAGAAGTCGGTGGGCCAGGTTCTCTTTCTAGCTCACTCCTGCTCCCCAATAGTGAGATAAGCTTGGTAATCCTGACCTCGGGTTTCCACTGTGGGCCACAAGCCCACGGAGCCGTGGGCAAGGCCTGTGACTGGGTGTGCTGGGCCACAGAAATGGGGACCCTTAAAGTGGTGGCCACCGCAGAATGAGGCAGCGACCAGTGTCCACTGCTGGCACCTCTGTTGGTCCCAAGATGTTAGTCAGGTTCAGATTTCTGACTGGGTTCGGGGGTGGGATAGGGGGAGCGGTTGGCACATGTCTGATACGACATGTTGCTTAAGTCACTCTTGGACCTCCTAGAATGCCCTGCACCCCTTGGGACCAGGGTTTCCCTTTTCTGCTGTTGATCCGCTGGGGTGATGGCACCTGTGTGTATCAGGATTGCTGTGCTACTTGATTTTGACTAACAGGAGCCCCGGTGGCTTAGTGGTTACTTGTTGGGCTGATAACTGCAAGGTGAGCAGTTTGAGACCGCCAGCCGCTCCAAGGGAGGAAGAGGAGGCTTTCGACTCCTGTAAAGAGTTATAGTCTGGGAAACCCACAGGGGCAGTTCTACCTACTGCTCACCTACTTGCTGGCAGGTAGATTTTTTAGCTTGGCCTCAGTACTGCCCTTCCTTGAGCAGTTAACCCCCGGTGCTGCCCCTTGACTTCCAGTCTGCAGCCCAGACCTGCCCATGTCTGAGGCCGCTCAGGGGAAATGCACTCTGTATGTGCCAAGGGTCTGCATGGTGACATGTGGCTGCTGACACGCTCTGGGGGGTGGCCTTGAAGGATGGCCCCAGCAGCCTCTTGTTAGCCTTCAGTTTGGGCACCTCTGGGAGGGCGACAGTCAGAAAACTGTAGCCCTGAAGCCCAATCTGGCCCACGCCTGCTTTTATAAATAAAGTTTTATCGGCACA